CTGGGAATGTAGAAAAAGGAAGATCAGAGAAAGCCATGTTTGCAGTTTATTTCTGAAGAAATTATGCAAAGGAACATCCTATTATAACCAATTACTCCACATTTTGTTATATTTATGCTTTCCTACATCTTAGAAGATGTGCTGAAAGGAGAAAGGGCCTACTGACAGCTGGATGACAAGTCTCTTCCTTTGGATGAGTTTGGAAAGAACTGGTGTCTAAAATTTAAATATTATAGTCTTGATGTGTAGGAACTTGTGGGCTCATAAGTAACACTTACTAGCTGTTGACTTCGGTGCTCAAAATAGAAAAACAATGAAAAATGATGCGCTTATGATATTTCTAAATAATATACTTATTCATGAGAATTTGTTTACTGTTTGGAAATATTGTTCAAAATGCTCTTGCTGTGTGTGGTTTAGAAAAGTTGTAAACACAATTAGTAACTGGTGCAAAAAAAAAAATCTTTTTCTAAATAGCTCTGTCATTTCCTCCTCTGACTTATGAAGGCTGGCTTATGAGTGACCCCTCAGTTAAACCATGGCCATGCAGACAAATTCATTTGTCACAACAGGGAGAGTAGAAATGTATGAAAAAGGAGTTAGAGTGAATCTCTTAAAACAAACCAGTTACCAAAAGTCTTTTATTTCCTCTTCTGTACATATTAGGATTGCAGTTTACATAGCTTTTTGTCATGCACTGGTTTTTCTTCTTGAACTGGATGTCTTGTCTCCTGAGAATTTATTCCTTCTATATATTCATGAGTATCTTTTCAGCTGACCAGAATATCTCACTAAAGTCATGATATAGTTGTCATACATGTAATGATGGCCATGGGGAGAAGTAAATATAAACAATCTGAGGTTAAGGCCTGTGAGCAAAATCTAAAGGGAGAATACCAAAATTAAATATCAAAAATACTTTATGGGCACCAGAAAAAGAGGAATAAGGAAGGGAAAATGGTTTCAAAAATAAGTGATTTCATCTATCCTCACTGTCTTCATACATTTTCCATATAATTTTATTGCAGGAACAGCAATTACTTAGGGAATTTAACTCTTTTTGGTTTTCCCGGGAGAAACCTGAGGAAGTTTCTTCATTTTCTGTCTGTTCTTTTTCCTGCATGCAGAAGTAAAAACAGCAGGAGATAAGTAATGCAAAGTTTACTCTTTGTATTTTTACTTGTTAAATATGAGCTTCTATTATCAGTTAATTTTAGGAACTCCTTAAACACCATTGCAACAAAACTTAGATTATGTTGTCTTGTCTTTTTTATTTTAAAGAAAATAAACAAGTTCAGGTTAAGTTAGATTGGTTTTGAACTGGTTAGCTTTTTTAGTTTTCAACTCCTATTTTTACTGAGGAAAGCTTCTGACATTAGCTGAGATCTCCTCTATGATCTTCGCTGTGTGGATTTCTGTCATCCGGAACAGAGGGTCTTATGTGTAGTAAATGTATTCCCCAGCTTAATATTAGTGAGTATCTTTCAGAAGCCTACACAGTTTCAGAACATTTGGCAAACCTGACACTGCTGGTCGAGTTAGGCTCATTTCTGTGTACCTTATTCATGGACTTAGAACAACCAGGATGGGAAATACTGAGGAAATCAAAATTGTTTAGGAAACACTGTACCTGGTTCTTTGACTTTGAGTTCAAATTTGACCTTGGAAGATCCAGCTATTACAGCATATGTCACATCATCATCTTTTTCAACATTAGTGATGGTCAGTGAATGCTTGTTTCCTTCTGCCTTGATGATGTATTTCTCACTTCCAGTAATTTCCGTGCCAGCTCGCTGCCACTTCACCTTAATGCCAGCCTTTTCTGTCTCCGCTTCAAACACAGCTGTGCTTCCGGCTGTCGCCTCTGTTGTCTTTGGCTTCTTGGTAAATGCGGAAACTAAGAGAAAGAGAAACTAAAATCTGTTCTGCAACTGTGGCTTATCTGTCGTAGTTAGTGGTTGTGGCTACAACAGCTGTCTACTTTTTCTCCCACCTGCCCATATAAGATACAAATTACAACACTTTCCACAGAGAATTTGTGGAATTGTCTTTGTTCTTGCTTTGTTCTGCCTCTGATTAACATGTCATATCTTTTTCATATTTTAATGATATAAAATGGAATGGACTGGAAACAGCACGGTCCCTTTTCTCATTTCTTTCCCACTAATGATTTTTTTTTCTGAGTGAATGTAGTTATCTATGGTAAGTTGGTATGATATATATCAAGCTCTTTGCATTCATTTACCATGAAGTCTTACTTAGAAAAAGGAGACTGTCATTAATTCTGACCTAGCAGTTACATAATAGTGCCGTTAAGCAGATAAACCTTGCATTGCAAGTTAACTTAGTTTAACAAGGCAATAACATATCCTTGTCTCTGTGTGTATGTCTGTGTGCTTGAAGTTAGTCTTGAATTACATGGTCTTGTGGGAGCGAAAGGCAGTATATATATACATGTTGTTACTGATTAAGACCTCTGTCAGCAAAGATGTTCACCGTGCACTGATATCAGTGGGAATCAGTGAAGAACCCAGATAACGTTATGGAACTTACATACCTGTGAGGGCCTGGACTTCAGCTCTACAACATTTGCTGTAGTGGAAGTCATTATGAGGGTCTGTTTTGAGGAGAACGCAAGCATCTATAATCTTTGCCTTAATTGCTGTCTACTGAAATGACTGGCTCAATGAGACTTTCCTTCCATCTCAGAGAATACAATATTGGTCTTTTGGTTTAAATAACCAAAGAAGAAAAAATAATTCTTACTAGTGTAATAGCTTGGTAAAGTACATAATCTTGGTATTCTGGTTATAATATTTTTCTGTCAAAAGACCTAAAATTTTAGATTATATATGTAACTTTGTGGTTAATTTTTGATGTTTGTGTTTTGAAGGAAAAAAAAAATGCCAAAACAATTACAATGGCTTGGAGTCTCTTTGGAGACTGTCCTTTGCTTATTTAGAAGTGTTTTTTCTTTTTTCCTTTTTTTTTTTTTTTCCTGTAGCAAATGAAGGAATTTCCATAATGCAATAAATTGGTGACCTCTCCTTCATGAACTGTTCCTCCCTCAAGACTGCAGTTAGAGCAGTAACCTGTGTCCTAATATACTGCAATTATTAATGGTTCATCTGTAGCTCTTCTGTTTTTGCTGATCAAGGCTTTTGTGGAAAGAATGGCATATTTTTTATAATTTAAGCTGAAATATTATCCAAATTTGTTTGTATTCAAATGTTTAGCTCAGCATTAAAAATTATGCATACTTGCCTAGTAGTCTTGTAACAACTAGTTAGTAATAATTAGACTACTAATTAGTAATAATTAGACAACTAATAAATAGACAACTAATTAGTAATAATTAGAAAACTAGTTGTTACAAGACTCTATGTAGGCAAGTATGCACAGCTTTTAATGCTGAGCTAAACATTTGAATGGATCAAAATACTTCCTTTATGTGTTAGGAAGCACTTAGGCTACTGAAAAGAATTAATTAAATGATTATAATATGGGAAGAGAGTAAAACTTCTGTTTTGACCCATTTATGATCAAATTAGTGCAATAGGTAGGAATGAGGAGAGCAACCATGTATCTGGATTTTGGGCTGCTATTATCCTAATCTTTCTCAGGATCAAGTTTTTCTGAGGTAACTTATTTTACTGAGTCCCTTACCCTGATTTCTTTATTTAGATTTTTTTTAACTTTATTTTGAAGCAAAATTCCCATTTTTTGTTCACATTTTGGCCTTAATGGCATTTGTTATCTTTTTGCTAATTGCTAGAAACAATGGTCATCTACAAAATACAAGTTATTAATATTCTTATTCTGAATGTTTTTCATCTTTTTGTGAATAATTATGACTTCTTAAGAAACATTTTAACTTTCCACTTCATAGCTATGCTTTTATAAAATAACAATAATCATATCACAATTGAATCTGTTGCAACTTTTGCAAATTATCTGTGTCTTTTCTACTTGGGCAGCAATAGTATCTCCTCTAAATAGGTTTACACTTTCGATGCTACTTTTTAAAAATGAAGGGAACATGGTATAGAAATATTCTAAAAGAAACAATTTACATTCATGTTCAAACAGGTGCTTTAGTATAAATTTAGTGTGTTATATGACTTATAATGCCATCTGTCCATTGCACAAAATCTGTTTTCCTGTACCATGTCCTTAGATTGCATAACTGCAACTTATACCTGAAAATACTTTGCCTGATGGCCTTTGGACGGTAATGATAATACAGTACATATTGTCTGCATTGTTTTGCAAATAATTCAAAGAAATGTCTTACGAACATTTTCTGTAGCGTGTGTTTTATTTTGCCACACTTTGTTGTATAAAACAAGTCTGAAATAGATTTTCCTGTCTTCCCTACCCAACTCCCCATTTTATCTATTTGCTGAGAAAAATGGTTTGTGCCTGAGCTCAGGCAGGACAGAGCTCTTGTCGCAGTCATCTGCGTGCTTTTCCTCCATGTTCAGATACAAGTGTTTGAATCCTCCTCTGTGGGTGGAATTTCTCTGCCTGCTTTTGAGTTTTTTCTCCCCTCAGACCCAGTATCCAAA